TGCTAACTGCTAGGATTTCCAAGAGGAAATAATGCTTGGCAAGCAACGCTTTTGGGGAAGACAACCACATTCCAAATACTGGCTCCTTCCTGGACCTGGGGAGGGGACGGCAATCGCGGTTACCCGGCATTTCTGCGTTCATAGATGTGTACAAGGTGGTCTGTAGCCCATGCGTGTAGCCAGGCCCAGGTTTCTTTCTCCTCCTCCCCCTCCCCCTCTCTCTCCCCCTCCGCCTCCTCCTCCCCCTTTCCCTCCTCCTCCTCCTCCTCTTTCTCCTCCTTCTCGTCCTCCTCTTCTTCTTCCTTTCTTCTTTATTCCTCCTCCTCCTTCTTCTTCTTCCTCTCCCTCCTCCTCCTCCTCCTCCTGCACTTCTTCTCCTTCTTCTTCCTCCTCCTCTTCTCCTTCTCCTTCTCCTTCTCCTTCTCCTTCTTCTTCTTCTTCTTCTTCTCTTCTTTTCTTCTTCTTCGGCAAGAATATTCAAACCAATCCACTCTTTCTGTAGCTAGCTCCCACGAAGCGGGGATTTTCAACCTCTCATTTATTTGCAAAGCCCATATGGAACCCTGGTTGAATCCCCTGTCTTGGGATTTTACCAGGAGGCCGTCAGTGCTCCACCGCCGCCCGTGGCACGTGAAGAGAAAGGAGGGAGAGTTGGCAGCCGCGAGAGAAGCCGGCTGGGAGCCTCTTCCGTCGGGGCCCTGTTTCGCCACAACAGACCCGCCTCTCCTTTCTCTCCCCGAAGGTACTTCCTTAGGCCGGCATTGTCGCTGCGGTGGTGGCAAGGTGAGCACTGGCATGGTCCCGGGGCGGGGGTGGGAAGAGCGGCCCTGTCTCCCGAGCTCCAGTGATTCTGCGAACCTGCAGGGAGCCGAAGACTGAGTGGAGCTGGGGGCCCGCGCGGGGCTCCTGGCTCCCGCTGGCAGGGGAACAGCGACACCTACTGGCCGCACGGGTACCTCGCCTGGGCCGTCAGGGCTGCCCTGGGCCGGGGTGCCCGGCTCGGTGGACTTGGGAGGCGGCGGGAAACTGCACCCAAGGCTCTGCGGACTGCTCTAGACCTCGTCCGCCCTCGGGAAGACAAAGCCACGCTTTCTGGAGACCCCTGAGAGAATTGTAGGATGGAACTGAACACTCAGGCACACAAGCATGCCCTTTTTTTCTGGGGAACCGGAGAAACCCGCAGACGCAGTTGCCCACCGTCCCTTGTTTAATAAGAGAGACCCAAGCAGAGGTCAGAGCCTTGACCTCCTCAGGTTCATGACCCAGGCCTCTTCCCCGCCGTCCCCAGAGCGACACTGACTAAAGAAGATATCTTTACAAATTAGGAAAAGAAAAGAGTTCATTACCCTCCCTTAGGCGGGGAAATGTGCGAGTCAAGGGATACAGACTCAGATGCAGCGGTTGGCGCCGGCCACGCGAACCGGCCGAGCCCTGCTGCTAGCCAGCTTCGAGCACCTTTAGAGCACCCTGCTGCCGCCGCCAGGGAGTGAAATTTGATAGCTTCTCTTTAAGAATTATAATCGTCTTAATCACCCCTGAAACAAAGGCAAATTTGGGCTGCTGGTGATATTCTGGAGACCTACGGATGTGTATATATATATATTTAAAGCCTGTATACCAAAGCATATATATATACACACACACACACACACACACACACATATATTATATATATATACACACGTGTGTGTACATATACACACACATACACATGTGTGCATATATATACATATATATATATATATGTATCTTCTGCGACAAGGCTTCGGTGGTTGGCTTCTGTTGGGGAGGGTAAGAGATGTTATGAAGCCATGGCAGTTCTGATGAAAACTCAGCGAGGCTGGGGATGGCAAAAAAGTGATTCATGTATTCCAGATTCACTTTCTCTTATCTAGTGTTTTCTGTAATAGCATATAGCCATTTCATATGGGAAGGAGATGTGATGTTGGTCCCAGCAGCCGGTAAAGGAGGGGAACCTCAGCTTCCATTACTCCCCAAGATGCCTTCTTTTCTCCTTTTCAGGTTCTGAGGCTCACTTGGGCCTAAAAAAACCTGACTGAGTGTGATTCTGATACTAACCTGCTCAAATACTAAAAATATATTTATTTTCCTTGAAACATTGGGGTATCTGAGCTAATTTCATTCCTTGAGATTTCTGTGTAAAATATTGTTTAACAAACCTCAGAATTAAAAACATTTTTTTCCATTCAGATTTCAAGAGTTCATCTTGGAAATTATTTTTCTTAGCTTTATATACCGGTTAGAACTGGGGTCTAAAATGTTTTGCCTGGAAGGTGGGAGGCCTTATTAGGACTAAATTTTTGTCTTCATTCTCAACAATCACAAAAGTTTGCTAATTCTGTTTTATTTTAATAAAATTGGAAGCTTTTATTATCTCTAAAGCCAAGAGTTTTAGATCAGGTCTCCCTCTCTCTCTCTCTTAAAAAGAAATCACCAAAAGGCCCAAGAAACCTGTACTTCAACTCTGTTCTGCAAGTATTTTTTTTCTTTTTAAATTTTCCTACGAGTCGATTCAAATGTATCCTGATAATATAAGAATTCACATCACAGAAGAGAGTCTCAGCAGTTTCTATGATGTATGAATAAACCTGTATTATTAATAAACAGGGCTATATCCTACCAGCATTTTTTCTCAACGAATCCTGTTTCTCACTACATTTCAAAGCTAGCTTTCTCCTTGTGAAATGGAGACATTCATAGGACAGGAAAATTATTATAAAAAATGACATTGGACACACAACAAGCACCCATCAACCAAACCCAGCTCAAAGGTGTCTTTGGTTATTGAAAGCACCTTGATAAATATAGGGGTTGATGTTTTTTCCTTTCCTTTTAGCTTCTTAGGATGTAGCTTTATTTGTGACTCCAAAATCTTAGCTAGAAAGGGCTCTCGTTGTTGATATTCTTTGTTTTGACTAACTAAAAATGTTGATTTGGCATTAAAGAAGATAGGAAAATAGAATTTATGTTTCAAAAATTGTGGAATTTCTCTGCATGCTAGTCACCCCCACAGCATTAGCATATTAAACTCTAGTAGAAAAAAGTTTACTGTTTAGAACAGAAAATTAGGCCAGGAAAATAATCTCATATTTCACATAAAATATGAATAAGTATATTCATATATGTAATTTGTGTATAGGTGTTATCGTGATGACTGTGTGAAGTAACGGAGGAGACAAGGCTTTTTGTTCTGTTTAGGTTTCCCTCAATATATTTTTCTTTTAATTCCTCTTTTTTATCCAGAAAATTAAGGAATAGAAGGCAGGCTAAACTGTCATTAGACTGTGTCCCTGTTCTTTGTCACTCCTGCCTTTCCTCTAGACTGCCTGGGAGGGTGTGTGTCCTCCTTTCTTGCTTCTTAGGTAGCAGGAAGGAAGGAATGAAAGCCTCAAGGATGTGAAGACTGATCAGAAAGGCACATTATTGCATGTGAAAATGAGTTGGGTACATTTGTCTAAATGTACTAAATTCCAGCTAGGTGGTTGTCTGGGGAGAGCGGACTTGTGTGAGGAAGCTAGCAGGCAGACTGAATAAAGTGGGGAGAGAGAAGCGGCTTCGTTGATCTGGAAATCTGCAGGGTCTTACTGACGTTTGGCTTCAGGGAGTAGAGATCCAAGGACACCTGTGTGCATCTGGCTGGAGATAGGGGTGTGTGTGTGTGTGTGTGTGTGTGTGTGTGTGTAGGGAGGAGTGGGCACTTCATCAAAAATACATTTGAAAAATATTGGTTCTATAATTCTGTCGCTAACAATTTGAGCCAGGTGCCAAGGTCACTAATGTGTCCAGGTTCACTCCTGGAAGGCAGCAACATTATTGCTTTTGATGTTAGGAATATGGCTTCTTTCATTTCTTTGGCTCTTTATGGTACTTCTTTTGAGTGGGGCGAGGCTCTAGCTTCCCCCTCCTCCTTTCTTGATCTCGGCAAACAAAACCATTCTACCACTTGAGCCATCTGCTGCAGGTGTAATGGATGGCAGGGGGCTGACCTAACCACACTCCAGTCTCTTCTAGGTCGTCACCGCTCTGCACCAAACAAATGAGACCTGTTTCACCACTAGGGTGCCCAGGTGGATGGTGGATGCTGGCCCCCGCCCCTGGCAGCCCTCAGCTTTTAGAAACCGGAGCCAGCTGACAACACGCGAAACACACAGGCACAGCGAAAACGCCGAGCCGACCGCGCACTCCCTCTGCCCCCTCCCTCTGCTCTCTGTAACAAGGGGGACACGTACACAGCCTTTACACACTTAAAAGCCCTCGCGACTCCCTCTGAATTCTTGGTTACTTATGACGGTCTTTCTCACTGCACATAGCCCCTGTTGTGTGTGTGTGTGTGTGTGTGTGTGCGCGCGCGCGCGCGCGCGCGCACGCGTGAATGTGCGTGTATGTTTAAAACGCTTATTGGTAGGTCATCAGCAGCTGATCAGACATGGTAATCCAATAATTTTTTTTGAATACATACAATTTTTCGTTCAAGGTAATTTTTTTAAGGGAAAAATGAAAAACTATTAATTTTCTGCGCCAAGTCTAGGGTTCTCAGTGGAGGTTCCAGAGAACAGCAGATCTGTGCAGCCCCCTCCTTACCAAACTTTCCTTTTCTAGGGTTAGAGAGGGGCTCACATTCTCACTTCATGACAGAGCAGCGGCTCATTTGCACGCGGGTGTGTAAAGGAGGGAGCTGTCCAACGCGCGACTTAGGAAGGGAAATCGGGTAGCTGGAGCCCCCCCCCTCCCCGCAGTCTCTCGGAACCCTGGCTGGAGGCACAAGGTGCCCTGGGGCAAGAGCCTGGGGTCCCAGCTTCCAGGCGCACAGCATCCTCTGGGCCCCCGGCCCTCCGGCTGAGGCACTCCTTCACCTGCACCCCATTCTCATTCCATTTTGATCATTATTTGAATAGCCCAGGTAAGGGTGCCCATCTCTGGGCTATGGATGGGGGCTGGACCTGACAGGTACAGTCTCCGCGGGCCCCCAGTGTACTTACCTCGAGCGAGGCCCTGGCAAATGTTGGCCCAGAAGCATCAAGTTTCCTCTCCCAGCCGTGGTGCCAGATTTCCCCTCCTGCCTTCTGCTCCTCTCGGCCAGCTCGCGTCTGTCTCTCTCTCCCTCTCTCTCTCTCTCTCTCTCTCTCTCTCTCTCTCTCTCTCTCTCTCTGTGTCACACACGAGGATTACTTGTGACTTTTAGAGGCAAAAGCTTGCTTATTCAGAGGAGAGAGGGAGGGGGAGAGGGAGAAAGGAGGCGGGAGGGAGGAGGGGGGGAGAGAGAAGTAGAAGGGGGATGGAGGATGAAGAGGAGGTAGAGAATCAGAAGGTAGTGCGGGCGTTGGTAGAGAAGGAGGAGGAAGAGGAGGAGGAGGAGGGATGGGAGGGGTAGGTGGAGTAACCGAAGATGGGCTGGGATGGGACGGCGAAGAATAAATTGCTCCCCACCCAGCTGCGGTGCGACGCCCCCAGCGTCCCCGGGGAGCCGGTGCGTCAGCTCGAGGCTGGCCAAGGCGGGGCCGTACAAAAGCTGGCGCCGCGGGACCCCCTTCGTGGGCTTCTACCCGAGCAGACCGAGAGCTGGAGGCCGCTCCACGCGCGAGCTCGAACTACGGAAGGCTCTCAGCTCGGACAAGCGTGGCTGTCTACCGGCTCCATGCTCCACGGAACTTTGATTTTACTCCCGGGAGCCGGGTCATCCACTCCTGCATCTCAGACAAGCGCGGGAGGCTAGTGCAGCTTCCGTGCGTCCTCACTGTGGCCGCGGGGCGCCCACCTTAGTCACAGCCCCTTGTCCCTGCGCTGCTCACGCCGCCCGTTTCCCCGATGGCCAGGCTCCCTCCGCCCGAGCCCTGCGTCTCTGTTCACAGGGGGCACCCCCTCACCTCACCTCAGCTTGTTTTTACAGAGGGTGTGTGTGTGTGTGTGTGTGTGTGTGTGTGTGTGTGTACATAGCGCGCGCGCTCCAGGCTAGAAAGAAGGTAAAATCCCAGCACGAAAAAGTAGCTTCGGTCTCCAGTAGCTTAGAGCCCACGACCAAGTCCGACCATATCCAGTATTTGAGATTACAGTTTGCAGCAAGGGCCAAGGCGGGGGTTCACCGGATCATTTCAACTGAGTTTCAGTGCGGCAAGGATTGTTTATCATAATTGCTAAGTCTGGCAAAAATAGGCCAAAAATAAAGAATAGTGGCAGAGAAAGAAGTGGAGGCATTTTAGCAATGATCAGGAACCAAAAGTGGTTGAAATGGATTTCTCGAACAAGAGCATCCACTGTGGATAAAGGTGAAAGCGGCAGACTCGCACAGAACCGCTTCAATACGTGATGGGATTAAAAAATAGGACCATGCTTTTCAACATAGACTACCCATTAGTTCTCTGTTAATTGCATTAAACCAGTCCCATGGAATGATTACATGGCAGCTTTTTAATGTACAAACACCAGGATTCTACAACGGATGCATAAAACCCGTTTATAGCACTCCCTCTGTACACACAGACGCACATGGATTCTACAACGGATGCATACAACCCGTTCATAGCACTCCCTCTGTACACACATACGCACATTCAAAGAGACAAAGTTTTAATACCAATACCCCAAACTTGTAAATATATATTTTCTCAAACAACTATCCCTAAATAGAGTCATTTTCTTCTTCATTTCCTTGCTGACCTGTGCGACATTATAGTTATACAGTAGGTTCCCAGGATCAACATAACTCTGCTTACATTCATTGTGTATGGCACGTCATAAAAATGCCAGGGGGGAGGGAACCTTGATGGGCGTGGAGAAGAAGGCTTTTATTAACAATTATATTCTCCCCTGGCAGTTTAAATAATAACAATGATGTCACGGTAACCATCTCCCTTCTCCCATTCCAGTGAAACCACTAGATGGGTTGGTGAACTGTATATTTGTATACCTAAGGGATTATTATTGCTACAGAGTTATAAACCTATTCTGTGGCATAAAGAATCTCTGAACGGTAGATTGCTGAATATTTGGCATGTTTTAGCACTCATTTACCTGCCAAATCTTATTTCAGAATAAGAATAAAATGTTACTACTTTGTGCCCAGCATAGTTTTGAAGGAAAATAGAACAAAAAGAAGTTGCTCTTTGAAATTATGTTAGTTGCTGGAAAAAAAAAAAATCCTCTCAGCGATGGAGCCGGTTACACACTATATCAAACGAAGATCATATTTTACCAACCCGAGCTGAGTTTTAAAAATTCTTTCAGACAACAGTGATAAGAGAGGAAGTAAAGAGCATGTAGACTCCCGCCCAGCCTGCACCCGCCTTCGCAGTGCCTGCAGCACACAATCTAAACACATCTGGACCCCCACCCCTATGCATTCTCTCTGTTTGGGGCTTGGTTTCTGAGGACAAGAGTTCGTTCTCGATGGACCAGTCACACGTTGAAAAATGGGTATTTTTGTTTAAGGTCAACATTCAAGCTATATACAACATGCAGCCTATATAGTACAGTGGCATGGTGGGAACAGTTTTCATTGTTTAACAGTTACTTAATAATTAAGATGCCCTGCATGTTGAATATCATTTTTGAGAATTTGCCTTTCTTTCTTTAAAATTATTAGCCAGCGTTTTCATGAGGCCTCAGGATTGGGCTGCACGGAGGAAAGTGAGGGATTCAATAAGGTACAGCTTTGATGTACAGAACAATTCTATAAAAGAAAGTAATTTATGACTGAGGAGGACAAAATTAATTTGGGGTTCTGTTTAAGTAGAACTTAGCAGTTGCAAAACTATGTTTTAAACAGACAACTTCATAATTTGCATTCCTTTTTCCCTTCTTAAAGTATATACAACCTGCGAAATTTACTCTTCTTAGCTAGTAAAACACCTGAAGACTTAAATTAGACACCAAGTAGCCACTGATGTACCAACCACATACAACCTGCCTTCCTGGAAGGTGTGGAATCTTTTATGAGTACTCAAGAAAAGCCCCCAGAGCTCAACTAGGTTCTATGGCGCTGGCACTGAGGAGTGTTCTTTAAGGTGATCAGTCTTTTAAGCATCAGGTGATTAGACAGGAAAGGTAACTTGAAAACACAACCTGATTCTGAGAGAAATCATTTTGTCCTGTTGGCATGAAAATGTAGTTATACCTCCAAGTTCTGCTCAGGAACAGACGGCTGCGTGTGGGGGCTGGTCCCTACCCAGATCAGTACAGGATCTTCAACTGGCAGACGAAATCCAGCAAATGGAATTCACGAAGAAACTCATGTGCGTTTGGAAAAAAAGGTGGGGGAGAGTGCTGCTTCCTGATTCCTTTTGCTGAGGTCTCCTGTGATCATCAATGGCTTTGGCAGCATCAGGGAAGGCAAAAAATAATTCGCCATGAAACCGTTTTGACCATGACTTATTTAATGGGGCTAGTTTGAACTTTGTTTTAAAAAATTTCCTGGCAGATGTTAGTCTTCTCCGTGCTTATATCTTACATGATTTTTAAAAAATGTCATTTATAGGTAGTCATTGCGTGGAGTTGTGCTACAATTAACACATAGGTACAAGGGCACTTCAGGGCCATGTAAATATCCAGGGTAAAGGATTCACCAGCTTTCCTGGCAGCAACCTCTGCAAATGGAAGCTACTCCAGAAGGAGACATTTTTATTTGTGCAGTTGTTACTAAAATCTTTATACATGTGAGTTTTGGGCTGAAATCACCAGTCCCAATTAAGGAGTTCAGATACACGCCACATCACCTTGTAAATAACCACTTAGACACCAGACTCTGGCCACTGTCGTCATAGTTCTGCCATAACTCTCCAAATGTTTGTTTGAAATCTAATAACCTTGCTCCTTTTAGAACTCAGCTCAGAGACTCAAATTTGGCCTTTGAATTGGTACTTAAAAACTATTCTCTTTTATCATTTAAAAGTAAGCCTACTCTCAAAATTTAGCATTTCACTTTTTAAGCTCAAACACTTCCTTAGGTCTCTAAGGTTTCAAACCAGTCCCTAGCATTAAATTCAGTCATGGCAATAATTTAGTACCCACAAGTAAACTGATGGTTTGGAGAGGGAGATGTCATCGTTCCTCTGTTTTCTTTTGTACCTAATAAAATGGAGACTGACTGTATGAAATCCCCTTCTAGAGCTTACCAAAATTGGTAAAATGCTTTTAAAAAATTCTACTGAACCAGAGCCCCATGGGCTTGCATCTCAGAAGGGGTTCCGGCTAGCTCCCTTTGGCTCATTTTTGGAGACCTGCTTTGGCGGAGGCTGCTCGCAGGTAACGCTTCCGAGATGAAGGCGGGGCTCCCTGTCGCCTGCAAGGGTATTTTACCTAGAATCTCCTTATTTTCCGTCCAAACTCACACTCTCCCACACTCGTGGGGTGATAGGTAGGCTAATAAAAGGCAAATAGTCATCAGAAGGGAACCCCATAGTTTCTACAAGAGGGGTTTTGGCCAGAAAACAAAGAGACCCCTCCTCGTCCCCTGTGCCTGAAATTCAGGTCGCCTACGGCTACGGGTCACGGCCTCAGGTGAGCGGCTCGGGAAGGGGTAGCTCTTCCCAGGGCCCCCAGGCTAGTCTTGGGTGGCTCCATGGGAGCGCTTTTTGACCTCCACAGCCATTCCGCTTCGTCTTTTCCTGCAATAACACCTGCTGCCACGGATCGAGTACACCTGACCAGATGTAGTCAAAAGAAACGGAGGAGAAAAGAAAAGGAAAGCCCCACCCTTCTTAATTCCGTTTGGTAAGAGCCAGGGCTGCCAAATCTATTACATAATTCCGGTTCAAGCTGACACCTGTGCCCGCCCTGGAGCTGGATCAGGTTCTGGCGGCTGCTCCAACCTGGAATGCCAGCTCCGCAGCGCCCAAGCCAAAGGCGAAGGGGAAGAGGAACGTAGTGTGGGATGGGGGCGGCCCCACGTTGGGGGTTCAGGTAAGGATTGGATTCTGCAGGGAACGCTCTCCAATAGTGGCTCCCTAATAATTTGGGACCGCGGGAAAAAAAAATAGTCGCAGTTTCGAAGTCCCAGAGCTTTCTCAGGGGGCATCGGACGCCCCTGGATGCTCCAGACTGTGGCGGGCTCCCAGGGGTGCCCCCTCCAGCCCCGTCAGGAGCGGAGGACTCACCTGCCACTGGGCTGCCGGAAGCACTCACTCCTGCTCCCGTCTCCCCCCTGGGAACTATTGATGCGGACCTTGGAGGTGCCTATGGCGTGGCCTAACACGTGGACGCGGCCCACAACTCGCCCGCGCTGCTTCTTTCCCCTGAAGGCGGACAATGGCTTCATTAATCGGCCATCATTAAACTGACCCAAGAGAAGCCCGGTCCTGCAAAGAGGGCGCGGCAGGCTAATTTTGCCCACGGCTGACGGTTGGAGCAAATGGTGGTTAACACGCTGGATCGCGCTCTGGTAAAGGCCTGACCGTCCCGATCTTTGGGATCTGCACCAATTATCCCATGAAAAAAAAAAAAAAAAAAAAAAAGATCAGCTCCCAAACTCCTAGGAATCCACACTCCTCCTCCCCAAACTTTCTGCTCCCCGCTAAGGCAAAAGACCCCGAGCGTTGTAAGCCCTTTTGTCAGAACACGAATTAATGTTTTTAAGATTTTTTTTTCTCAAAAGAATTAAGAGCTCTAGAAGCGACCCTTCCACTCATTAGGACACTATGTCAAAGGGACTCGTCATGGCAATTTACAAATATCACGAAGGTGGACGGCGCTTTTGGAATATAACTCGGGCTTCGTTTCATGCAGTTTTTAAGGAATTCGTTGAGGCCCTGGAGACATGACTCATTTTCCCCAGTCCATAGTGGGAAATGCTTATTGGGATTTAGTTGAGATAAATAAAATAAAAGCTATATTCAAAGTTTCATGTGGACCTTAAAAAAAAAAACAAAAAACAAAAAACAAAACAAAACCACGCACACGCAGCAAGAGGCAATGACCTTCCCTGGACATCGCAGGCATCGCCTCGCTCCCGCTCCCAGAGTCAAATCCGGGCGTCCATCTCCACCATCAACCCCCGCCCCTTCCCCATTCCTCATCAAAAGGCAAGAGAAACGTCTTCCATATTTCTTTCCTCCACCCATCTCAAAGACGTCTGGGCATTTCCTTGTGCATCATATCCTAAACAAATATCCTCCCTTTACAAATTCGTGTGAGCCTAGGACGGTGTGGACCTGCACCCCTCTTCCCCGTGGCGACCGTGTTGGAGAAACTCGCCAGGACCAGTGTGCTGCGGTGGCCAGAAAGCGCGCTGCCCAGCCTTGGAGAGCTGGAGAAACCAGCCGGGCCCCGCCGAACCTGCGCTCGCAGAGAATGTTATCTTCACAGCAACTTAGTAAGCCCCACAGAACAAAAGTTAAAGCGTGATGGCACCATACCTTTCCCCGGGTTACTCAGGCGCCTGTCTCCCATTTTGAACATGCTGGAAATGTTGGATTTGGGGAGGTTTGCTTTGGCTGGATTTGGGTTGTCTATATAAGCCCTGCTGGAGTACTGTACTAAGGAACGGGCCTTGATGGACTCGGGTGTTAATTAACGCGCGGCTAATTTGAGCTCAAGGAGAGGGAGGCGGCCGGTAGCGACGCGAGCCGCGAGGGGCCAGTGACCTCTAGTGGACATGAGGAGATATGCAGCGAGAGTGAGTGTGTGGAGGAGAAAACTCCTTCCTGCGCCGCAGCTAGGGTGTCTCCTCTAAGTCCAGTGCCAGGGAGGGACACGAGTCCCCAGTTTAAGGGGGAAAAAGCCGTCAGCAAGTGGTGTCGAGCTTAGCTCTTCTGTTGTATCTGAAATCTAAAAGCAATTTAAACGTGCGCGCGCGTACACCTTGTTACTGATTTTTCCACCGAGAGGAGAACCTATGGAAAGGGTTTGAGAAGTGAGCGTAAAGAACTTTGGTTTCGGAACCCAGAGAAAAGCAGGGCTTTCAAAGCTCCGGAGCCACCAGCCATTCAGGGAAGGAGTCGGAATGTTATTCTGTAAACAAAGTTCATCAATACTCCTAAGATTTTTTTTTTTTTTTTTTTTTTTTTTTTGGTAAAAAATTAAAAAAAAAAACAACTTAAAAAGCTTAGTTGGGTCAACAAGAAGAAAGCAGTGGAACAAATTATGTGTGGAAAGGCCCAGATGCTCCTGAGTTCACACCCCTCAGGCAAATAAGAAGACAAAAATAAGAACAAAGGAGCCCCTTCGCTTAAATAAAATAAAATAAAAGGCCAGGAGGAAAAAAATGACCTGTTTTGGTTTTCTTAACCTTCATTTATTTCATTAGATAAACTAGTGCAGAAGTTGTTTGGAAAGATCATCCTGGTTCTGCACTTAACAAAAGCAAACCCTGGACTTGGTAGTTCAGACCGAATACCACTTTTTTGAATAAACCGAAGCCCACATTTTATCCTCCCCTATTCCACAGAACGCAGCCGACTGCGGAAGCTGGCGAGGCCCAATAAAATCCCGCGACTCCACAGCCTCAGCGCTCAGGGATCCACCGTCCAGCAGAGGCTAAGCTGACCTCGCCGACGGCCGCGGCCGCGTGGCCTTTCCTCCCAGGTCTTGTTCTAGGGGCGTTTGAGGATTTCTTAGTCCCTTTTCTCCCTGGCTCTCTTCCCCCGAGGGCAGAAGCCCGAATTACTAGCAGCTACCAGCCTCTTGGAGCGGGAACTGGGAGGTGATCCCCTCCCCAGGAGTAGCCTGTCCGTCCCAGCTCTCCTCCCTGCCTGGCAGTTCTGCGGCCACCAGAATCTGTCCTCAAGTGTCGGGGGAGGGGTGGATGTGGGGGATCCGAGACGATGCCTCTTCCCAAAGTGCGAGCGCAACCCGCTTGGGGCTGTTTTCACACCGCCCAGGATGGGGGTTCCACGCCTGGAGCGCAGTTACTCTGTTGCGCCCGCAGGGTACAGCGGGATGCACATCTGGGACCCTAGGTCGGGGACCATGGCGTTAGTGACGGACAGCCGAGTCGGGTGGGGGGCAGTCTCCCCAGGTGGACAGTATAAAGCTTGGACCGCAGGGAAAAGAAGAGCGGAACTGGACGTTGGGTGAGGCTAGAGAGCAATGTTTTCTCTCGGAACTTTTCCCTCTCGCCTTTGCACCTTCAGGAATGGCACTAGCAGAGGCCGGGTAGCTGCAGTAGGAGCAAAGCGTCGGCCCCCAGGGCGGTGGCCGGGCCCCTCTGTGGGCTCTGGTCACAGAAGGGAGGGGTAGGGGTTCAGCTCCGCCAAGAGAGGGAGCTCCCCTCCCCTCCTTTCTCGGCCGGAGACTTTCAGGGTCCTCCTGAATGGGATCGTCCAGGGTCGGAAGTCAGTGGTGGCTATACTCGGAACAAGGCTGTCATTTCGCAGTGAGGGAAAAACCGTAACTTGGCAGGATGAGGAACACGCGATGAAAATGAACCCAGGGAAACCGAAGGTTTCTAAGAGCTGTATTTCACTGCGGACCAAAGAAAGGACTGAGAGCGCCTTACGGGAATAGCATTTATAAACCCCAAACATTAAATACACATTACAACAAAAATACAACCAATAGCTATAACTGAATTGTAATAGTTTAAGAAATGATCTTTTCAGAAAACCAAACAGCAAGCAAAACAATGTTCAATTTTAAAACGCCCAGACACGACTCGCACAGCAACTGCCTATGGGAGAGGAGTAGTTTTCCTTGACCTTCCCTACACTGCGCCCCGAGAGTTCCCTGTAACCCCAGAGCAGGAGAACCCATCAACTTTGGAATCGAATCAGAAAAACGAAACAAAACCGTGAGGGCCCCCAATCAAGGATCCACTAACGTTCCTGCCCGCCTGGCTTAACCTCCATACCCCGGGAAGTGGAGCGAATCACTCTTGGCACCACTTGGGGCGCACAGAGCGGACGCCCCTCCTGTTGGCCAGGCAATCGCACACCTGATGCAAGAGGACCAGAAGTGGAGAACAAACTGTGCTCAAGTTCCAGCAGTCTACAAATCAGAGTCCCGATTAGCTTGGGCCCTTGCAAACTTGGGCACTCACCTTTAGAAACAAAGTGAATGCTCTTCTTTTTTCTGTAAGCTGCAACTTACCAAGGGCATACTGGAGTCTACCAGGCCCCGAGGACCCCATTTCAGGCCCAAGTGTGCCAGTTTTACCCTTGCTGGCGGTGCGCACAGCAGCCTTCATCAACCAACTTCTAAGTGGGCGCCGACGAGGAGCAGCCTCACGATTTTTCTGCAGAGAGAAGGTAGACAGAGCTGCGGGCGTTCGGTGTGGCCCTGTGACCCCAGGCTACTATCCCAGGCTCTGTTACGTCTTCACCAGAAAAGGAGCAACCGAGATTTTTCCCGGTTGACAATGCCCAGCAGCCGGGCCCTGTTATTACAGGGGTTGCCCTCTTCTCTAATCGTTCATGTTCAGGGTTTTCCCCGAGTAAGATTTAGAAAAGGTTGGACTTGAACAGTTGACCTCCCAGAGCCTCTGAGAACCTGGCGCTCAGTCTTCTCCTCTGCACTTCTCCTCCCACCCCCACCCCGTTGTCCCTCAGCTGCTGGTAAGGATGGAAAGACCCAAAGACGGAGAAGCAACCCCCCACCCCCAACCTCTGGAAACAGGCTCGACAATCTTTCCCAGTTTCTTGTGGAAAATTTGCACATGCACACACAAAATCTGGAATTCGAGATATTAGGTGATAAGCTGTCCCTGGGATCGGTGTCGTGGGCTGAGGACGCCCAAGACCTGGCGAACTTCCGGGCAGAGGAGCGGGAGTGGGCGACCCGAGGCCCGGCGCCCGGGCTCTGCGCTGGGATGGTGCTAGCTATTTCTCTCTGCTCCCGGCTATTACATTTCTTTCTTCCTTCCTCTTGGCTAGAGTTATACATTTTATGTATGGGGCGATTTAGAAAATAAAATTGGACTATATATGCTATCTCAGATGTAATAACCCGAAAACCCTCCCGTTCTTTTTTCCTATGTTGTCCCCACTTTTCTTTTTCTCAAACTGAAAAATTTTAGTGCTTGGGTGGAGAATGGGGAGAGGGACCGCCGGAGACAGAGGCACGGAACAGAGATCTGAAAGCGAATTTTTCAATGCCTAGTACTTGATGTGGCATTCCGTCTTAAATGACCACGATGATGATAATCTGAGCAGTAATATTAGTCGATTTTCCTGATTTCTACTGCGGCTTGGAGAAGTCTTGGGAATCAAGCGGCATAAACTCAGATTCCTGTTATATAACTTTTTAATGAGGGAGGAGGATATCGAAAACCTCGCTCAGTCTACGGGAATGGAGCCTTCAAAAACCCCTGTGAGGCCCGGAGCGGTGACTCACGTCTGTAATCTCAGCACTTTGGGAGGCCAAGGCGGGCGGATCACGAAGTCAGGAGTTCAAAACCAGCCTGGCCAACACGATGAAACCCCGTCTCTACTAAAAATGCAAAAATTAGCTAGGCGTGGTGGCCCGTGCCTGTAATCCCAGCTACTCGGGAGGCTGAGGCAGGAGAATCGCTTGAACCCGGGAGGCAGAGTTGCAGTGAGCCGAGATCTTGACACTGCACTCCAGCCTGGGCTACAGAGCAAGACTCCGTCTCAAAATAAATAAATAAACAAAACCCTGGTGAGCAGCCTAAAAAACCGTTTGGTGAGCATCTCCTTCCCACACTGACGCTGCCACCCTCACGGAGCTTCCAAATTCCTCCTGTTTCATTTTCTCTATATGCTTTTCAACCCACCCTTGGAGTTGCTCTAGAAGGAGGACCTGGAGTGAAACTCCACAGTGTAGTTTAAAGACAGGCTTAAGATGCCCCGGGGTGGACAGAGGATTGAGCTTGAACCGGAATTCCTGGAATACACGAAGGCTTTTGAGCTTGGCTCAGGCACTGAGGACTCTCTACTCTTCTGACAAGGGCACCTGGGTGGAAAGAAGGTGGAGCGGGTTTCCAGCAAAGGCGAGACCCTGGAGAACCCTGCTCTATCCCACCCTGTGAGCATGGGGGAGTAATAATCTCCCGACCTCAGTTTCCTCATCTGCTTTAGATGAATTTTAAGAAATTTTATTCTTTATAAGATGATTTTCCCTATATATTTCTTGCCTCCCTCCCTCCTATTCCCAACCCTCCACCCAAAAAACACATTGCAAATATATTCCCCTTGCCGTGAATTTTAAAAAAACCACAAAAGTTTGCATGAGACAGAATTTACCTGCCCATATAATTCTGTAGAGGAGGGATTTTTTTTTTTTTACATGACAACTTTTATTTCTATTGATTTAAAAAAATCTTATCTGGAAACAATTTGGCTCATGAGCTAAATAATATAGTTACCATTTACTTAATAATTTTTAAGCGCTAGGCATTGAGCTAAATCTTTATATATTTTTTCTTAGTCTGAGAACA